GAAGAAGCCACACTGTTTATGGAAAGATACCACACGCTGATAATATCAATGATTAACCTTGAAGTACCTTTAACTTCTGGACTTTCTAGTCACATAAGCCAGCAAATTCCCTTATAAGTTAACTACCAGTAGTCACCTTTTCTGTTACTTGTAGCTGAAAACATCCTTCACAGTACAATAGCCATCAAAACATCTTCATCCATTTGACAAAAAGCCATGAGAAAATCCTGGAAGATGATTTTTGAGAAATGTCTTCTTAGGATTCCCTACTGTCTTGTTTGTTTTTACTTATTTGAGACAAGATTCTTTATTGAAAGTACATGAAAATGAGTTTTAAATGAAATATTTAGATAAATTATATTTAATTTACAGCTAATAAATTTCTAAGAAATGTTATTGGAGACATAACTAGGGACATAAAGAACCTGGATTCCACAAAACCTAGAGTAGCAAAGCATTAGAAAAGACATGAAGAATATTTTAAAACATTCTGACAGCAGAAACAACCTGGAAGACATTTCTTGGTGAGGATAGCAGTCTAACAAATATGTCTTGAAACCATGACTGTTTTGAACCATGCCTATCTCTAATGGCTTGCATTGTGATAGGCACGAGACAATGATAAATGTTTCCAAATAAGTGATCTACTCTCAAGAAGTGAATGTTATAAAGAAAAGTAAATCAATCCTTGGAAAACCATAATTCGGTACTCACCAACACAGTAGTAACATTTTAAGGAAAACAGTGTATGTAAGTAAAAGAATGAATAGAGATTGTGCTGTAAGTTGAACAATTGTTTCCTGGGTAAAAATCAAGAATAATATGAAAAATTTAAGTGTGTGAACTAGGCATTTACTCGTAGGAAGTAATAGGAGGCAATTCTGGCTAGAAGAGAAAAAAGGAATTGATTGTTGGCATACTGGGGCTCATGGAATCAGGAGAAGGCTGAGTTAGGTTTAGAAATAAGCAGAAACCAAGACCACTCCAGAGATTAAGAAGCAAGACTTATAACAGGAAAATTTAGGTCAGAATGCTGCTGTTTAAGGACAAGATAGAGGTTGGCAGTGACCAAATGACAGCTGTTTCAGAAGAGTCTATGAATATTCGATTGGAGGAGATTGAAGAGAGAATGGAAAAATAAGCCACTCTTCTGAAGAATTTTTCACGAAAGGGAGCACAGAAAGAGATGAGGTCAAGGGAGGTTTGTTTGTCTTTAAATGGTGCTACTTGAGCATGTTTCTGTGATGACAGGACTGAATCACTGTCTGCAACACTTTTCCCTGCAAGCGCCCCAAAGTTGGTTTCTTCTCATCTTTCACATCTCTGCTCTATGTCACCTCCTGGTCCTAGTCTTATGACATCGTTTTATTTTCTCGATAGCACTTGTGTCTGTCTGTAATTATCTTCTGTGTTTGTTTGATTGCCCTTTACCAACTACAGTATGAAATTCATGAGAGCAGCAACTTTGTCCTGCTTATCACTGTCATATAAGCATCCAGAACAGTGTCTGTGGCAAAACTGAGCCTTAATAAATATTTGTGGGATAAATTAGAAAACAGATAACTAGAACTTCAACTGTTTCTTTCCTTCTTATGTTAACTGTTTGAGATTCAAAGACCCAGGATGCAGTTGCTGATGAGCCAAGTTCAACGCTGTGTAGTCCTTTGTCTGGACAGGGTCTGCACCACCAAAGGTTATTTGGCGGGGGCTAGGGAATTGAATTTACTGTCAGTCCAAAACCAACTATGAGAGGAGAGAGGCCATTCTCACAGGAAAATCAAATACTGCTAGGAATCTCCAAATGACAAGTGCTCAATGCAATAAAGCACAGTAAGGAGGGAGAAGAAATGTTTATTTCTTGCCACAAACAAGCCAGAAATGAAAAGTTTACATTCTGGCTGATCCATTAACAGCTGTCAGTTTCATCCCTAGGTTTCCCAAGAAAAAAACTTTAGGACCAAGGGGACAGACAAGTCTGTCTGCTTATACAGATAAACATCCCTCTTCATTAAAACAGGCTGGGAGTCTGGAGATAATTAGACCCACTGTGTCAAGCAATCAGCCACACAGGGAAGAGGTCAGAAAAACAATGACAAGCGACCTGGCTAATTGTTAAGAGAAACAGAGGAAAGCCTTTGCAATCAGTTGAAAGACTTTTTGGCTATTGTCGCTCATGGCCTGACCTGTACTTGTTTGTGTGCTGTTCCTTTGGTTTCTCTGTCACTTTCGCCCTTCCTCTTGTCCTCCCCTAGCACAGACACACTCACCTAGACTCGCAGACATGAGCACAGTCACCACGTGTTCATCACAACGAGAACACAGTGAACTTTCCCAGCTTAACTTTGGGAAGGGCAGTCATCTTTCTCTACAAGATTCTACCTCCTCAGGAGGAAAACCTAGGAAGTGCCCCTGTTTGCTTCTATTTACTTATCTTTTTATTTTTTCAGTGCTTGGGATCTGTTAAGTTAGAAGAGCTTTTTGGGAATCCCAAACGTGCGTCGTTAATTTTTTCTAATAAGACGTTAGTGGCTACTAGAATGATAGCGTGATAGAATAATGAGCTCCATGAGGGCAGGAACAGCATCGATTTCATTCGTGCTGAGCACCTTGCCTAGCACAAAGTGAGTTTTCAATAAATATTTGGTGAATAAACAAATAAATACACAAACAAAAGAGTGAGCTGAAAGGCTATTTTCTAAGCAGAGACTCCGAAGACCACTGCAGCTTTCTCTGCTCTCCTCAGTCACACCAATTCATTGTAAATCTATTATCTTTTCTGTCTTGCCCTTTTCTCATTGCAATGTTCTCCCTTCCATTCTCCTTTCTGATCCTATTGATATTTACTCACCTAAGTTAGATAAGACATCCTGATAAGCACTAGCTGTGGAACATATAAAATATGCATATTCTTAAGATTCTTCCTTGTTATATAAGCATTATATGATTTCTGATTCTAAGAAAAGATATATTTTTGATAGGCTACAAGGTAAGTTTTTAAATTGTACATAATAATCTACAAGATCCCCAATGAGCTTACAGCATTTTTTCGATTTAAAACAATGTTAATGGTGGAAGTATCAATGATTTATATGTATTTCTAGAAGTTTTGTTATAATACCTCCTTGTTTTCTTTACATTTAGAGGGGGAAAATGTAGTTTTTCTAAACTACAACTCAACTTTTTAAAATAAAATCATTTGAGTGACTTTCATAAGTACTTTTCCTTAATTATAAAAGAACAATACCATTAATTTTGTTAGTTAGCATGTTTAGAGTTCTGTAGGTCAATATGCCTTTAACGACCCAGCCAATTTCCTCACCACCACTTTCTGAAATCTTCCCATGCAGTATTTTTTTAAAAGAGAAATGGGAATGGAAGAGTCACTTTGTTTTTCAAGGACTTTTTGAAAGTCTGCTTTTGTACTAGCCATATCTCTCCACCTCTCTTTTTGATCAGCTAGATGCATGATAAGATTAATAACCATTACAAATAATTAGTGCCTACATTGCCTTTCACCAGCCATTATTGAAATGACTTTTCTTTTATAAAATATTATGACTGCAACTACACGGTGAACATCTGGACATTTCCTCTAAAATGCACTAAAGTGTAGTCTACTCTGTGGGTCTGTGGTTTTTGTCTTTTTTTCTTTTAATGAGATGAACTAAAGAAACGGAACAAAATGTTAGAGCTGGAAGGGATGACAGAAATAGTTCAAGTGGTTCTTTCTTTTTTTTCTTTTTGAGAGAGAGTATCGCTCTATTGCCCAGGCTGGAGTGCAGTGGCTCAATCTCGGCTCATTACAAGCTCCACCTCCCAGATTCATGCCATTCTCCTGCCTTAGCCTTCCGAGTAGCTGGGACTACAGGCGCCCACCACCATGCCTGGTTAATTTGGTTCTTTCTTAAAGTAACAAATCCAAAGCATAGAGAGGCAAGATGATTTCTGATCCCCAACAGGCTGCTAACTACACGCTAGGCCGATTGCCCAATCCTTGTCTTTCCACAACTACCCATTTAGTGTTGACTTTTCTATCCAGAACAACAACTACTCAATCGTTCTTAATTTTATTCATAGGGTTGTTTTACTGAGGAGCTGGGTCACTTGAAGTTTTGTTGAAGAAGTAAATGCTAATTATACTCTTTAATAGATAAGTCTTAATATTCATTCCTGTTACTATTGTAGTTACTTGCTCTATAATGCTCTAACCCTAGAAACAAATTCTGTGATTAGAAATATTGCTGTCATGCCAATCCAATTTATTTTAGGATGAACAGTGTGACTAGGTTGGGTGACTCCAGCACATACAGACCAAAATCCAGGAGTGATTCTTAGCTGTCGACTGCAGGGATCCTACATGTACTTCCTGTCAGAGCAGAAAGTGAAGTGGATACAGGTTCACCTGGTCTACAAAGGCATCCAGGGAGAGATGTAGCAACTGGCTGGGAGAAAGTAGGTGGTGTCTTTGGACAGGGAAGTTGGAGCAGCGGCTGCAGGTGAACAATGAGCAAAATACCAGCTACTCAGGCACAATGAATCACTTGTACAATCCTGCGTTAGGAAAGAAGCTTTCATGAGAATATGGCCAGGTGGGGTCTTCTGGTCCCAGGGAAAGCAGATCATCACAATAAGGGGTTGGTTTGTGGTGAAATCACTGATTGCCTGTAAACCAATGCATTTCTGGGTGTGCACCCCTCTCAGACAGCAGTGTGGCTGTTTCCTTAGCATTGGTTCTGGATGTAAACATGCCTTGGTTTGAGCACAAAACCACTGTTTCTGTTCCACTTTGAATGAGTTTTACAGAAATGATGACTATGTGGTGATTCTTCACCTATTCTCATGCCTGGATCTGATTTGTGAGATGTTTTGAGAGGTTACTGCGGCTTTGTAACCGAGATTTTTTTCTTTGGGAAATTAACTGTCTTTTCCATAGCCATTGTGGTAGCCTAGCAACAAGGGACAGCAGAGCAATAGCAAGGATTCTAGAACTCTAAGGAATGATGCCTGTTGACGTCTGTCCCAGGGATAAGGGATCCCAGTGGGCCTGGCTTGAGATGGGACAATGCTATAGCAAGAAATCTGTGGTCCCAGAGTCTGACACCCCAGAGAGAAGCAGGTGAGTTCCCAGCTCCTCTCATCCCAAAATAATTAATGGGAATTCTTGGATAAAGTAGCTTTCACTTAGTACTTCAAAGAAAATCTTTCTTTAAAGTCTGGGGAATAACAACAGACAGTTTTTTATCCTTTCCTGGAGAGTGACCCCTTTCTTTGAAAGCTGCCGTCTTCCCAGATCATAGGGCATGGCCTGACACACAGTAGGAGTTCAATAAATATTTGTTGAACAAATAAATTGTCCCTTACTTGGTCTTCTAAAAATCACACACTCACCCACCACAGCCATTTTACTGATGTGGGAAGGGGGAGGGTTTGAAGCCAGCCTTCTTACAGTTGAAATGAAATGTCATCTTCACTACCCTCTTGCCAAGAGATGTACACACAAAAAGCTGGGTCATTCCTCCTCTACAGGTTCCCCACATAAAAATCTAGATCAATGCTGGCTAGAAATATGGAAGTACAGTTCACTTCTCTAATTGATCTGCATTTAATTACTAGAAATTTTGCATGTTGACACCATACTCATTTCCCTTTCAAATGTGGAAATATCTTCCATTTACAATTTTCTTTTAAATCTTGAGTGAGAGTTGACCACATCTCTGTAGCAGGAGTTACATCCTATAAGGCAGTATCCTTGTGGGATGTTCACATGCAACCATGGTTCTGGTTTTAAGTTTTCGTTTGTTTTTGAAACAGAGTCTCACTCTGTTGTCCAGGCTGGAGTGCAATGGAGCAATCTTGGCTCGCTGCAACTTCTGCCTCCCGGGTTCAAGCGATTCTCCCACTTCAGCCTCCCGAGTAGCTGGGATTACAGGCATCTGCCATCATACCTGGCTAATTTTTGTATTTTTGTAGAGACAGGGTTTCACCATGGGTCTATGGTCTGTGGATGATGTGAGAAACTCACAAATCTAAGATTTTATGTAAAATGTTGTTTATTTGTGCAAAGGATTCCATAAGTCTCAAAAATTAAATAATCTATGGGAGGGAGAAAGGCTTTTTCCATTTATTAAAGCTAATGAAATTTAGCAAACACTCATTTTCTTTTAATTTCCCAGAACAAAGCAGCTGAAGAGATAACGTATCAATATGTAGGCAATTGGAGAGTAGAACATAAAGTTACCAAATGGAGGGAAAATGCCCTGTGATGAACAACTTTCAAACGAATAGCCCAGTATACATTCAGCAGAAAAACCAAGTGAAAAGCAGGACTTTGCTCTCTCTGTAAATTATTGTTAGTGTTTTTTACTCCTGGTGTGTGGAGTTGAGTGTTCTGTGCAGGTAGAAAGCTGGGCTTTTGAGGTAGGAGGCAGGGGAGTGTCACACTATTCTTGTTGATCTGTTGGTGACTTCAGTTCAGCTTCTTCACTTCTAAGCAGGAACAAACTGGTCCAGTGTATTTTGTTTGCCTTTCCTTCTCCTTTTCCTTCCCCTTTTCTCTTCTCATGCCCTTGAAACAGACCTTCTCCACAGTTTACATAAAATGAATGGAAACTTGCTCCTACTTTGTCTAAGTAAGGGAGAGTTAGGCCCTGGATGTAATTAATCTAAGGAACAAAACAGAATTTTCCCAGGAAATCTTCTCTTATAAAAATTAAGTGCTCAATAGCTGTATTTCCTCACCAATTTTATTAAAATCCTTTATTCACCCAGACTAATTGGTGACTAATTAATCCTCCAATTTGACATAAAAAGCATGAAGTAAAAAGTTTAGAAACCAGATATAAGACATTTCATTTAAAGGAGGAAATTTCAATGTTCTTATAACACACTGAGAAAAAAACTATGCAAGGTTGATATGTCATCTCATTACTCCCTGCCAGTAGAAATTTAAAGAAGTTTTTCCAGGTTTCCAGTGAACCCTGAAGTAGGAAAACAATGCAATAAAAAACAAACTTCATAAACACATTTATTAATTATATGTTGTCTTTATCTCAAAGCTAATAGGCTTTCTAAAGCTTTCTTCCCCCCTTAATTATTGTACAACATGACTTCTCCTGTGTATGTGGGTTACCATGGTTACTCTGAGGCCATGACTCATGACCTTTAAATATAATTGTCAGGCAGCCAAAGCTCTCATTTTTAAATCACCAGTTTTGTTTCAGGCATTATTTTTTAAAAGTAATCTCAAATTGTACTTTCTGTGATGCATTTGTGGCACATCTGAGTATGCACATAAGGATATTGCACTCACATATTTTGTTTTGTTTGGTTTCATTCAGTGACTGAAAATGACTTTCTTGCCCAGCATAAAAAATACACGAAGCACAGCCTTTGTCCCCTATGAGGGTGTTACTGAGAAATGCAAAACACAGGTAGAGAAATAGTCACATACATCATGAACCATAATAAGGGCTGCAAGAGGTGGATGCCCAAAACCTGCTTGTGCAATATAAAGGCAAGAAATACTTCTGACCGGTAGGGTCAGAGGGCCTTCAGGGAGAGGCAGCATTTGAGTTATGGTGTGAAGACCTGTAAGATTTCAACAAGCAGAGAAGAGACTATGAGTGTTCTGGCCGGAGGAAACAACTAAGAAAAGGATAAACGCACACTCTGGACTATTAGGCCGTTCAGTTGAGGGAAAACATCCGTTTCGTGAGTTTCACTGATAGAAGATAAAATTTGTTAGAGGGCTCAGTTTATTAAGATCCTTTAAAGCCATTTGTTGGTTTGTCCAGCAACTGTGATGACCAAGAGTTTGTTTTCCATTTCATGATAAAGAGGTGTTGTCAAGTAGAAAGTACCAAAATACTGGTTTTTTTGCTGATCTGGGTGTCATGTGAAAAAAGCAATTACATCTCTTAGAGCCCCAGTGTCTCCTTCCAGTAAGTGAGAACTTAATTAATTTTATTCAGTAGTCACTGATTACTTTATGAACATTTGTAAATGATTTCAAATTTTTTGAAAAGTAAGTAAAAGACAGAAATGTGCACAGACATATGGAAATAAAACTATATATTCATGAGGAAGATAGTGGGATAAGAAATAATAAAAGTACCTTGGAATTTAAAAGTAAGGCTTTATTGGCTGGGCGCGGTGGCTCACGCCTGTAATCCCAGCACTTCGGGAGGCCAAGGTGGGCGGATCACGAGGTCAAGAGATCAAGACCATCCTGGCCAACATAGTGAAACCCTGTCTCTACCAAAAATACAAAAATTAGCTAGGCGTGGTGGTGGGTGCCTGTAGTCTCAGCTACTCGGGAGGCTGAGGCATGAGGAACACTTGAAACCGGGAAGCGGAGACAGTGAGCCAAGATTGTGCCATTGCACTCCAGCCTGAGTGACAGAGCAAGACTCCGTCTCAGGGGGGGAAAAAAAAAGTAAAGCTTTATTGATTGGCAACAACAGAAAGGAATCTATTAAATCTATGAGATTTATTAGATAATTCATTTATTTATTCAACAAGTGTTTGTTGACCATCCTATCCTTCTTCAAGAGGCTGAGGGTAGAGTAACAAAAAGAACAGAAAAAATTTCCTATCTTCAAGGAGTTTACATTTTCAGTTGGGAGATGACATAAAAAATACAGTAAATAAGCAAACTATATAGCATGTTAGAATGTGATAAGTATCACAGAGAAAAGAGTATGGTGATGAGGTGAGGGGTTAAATTTTAAATAAGATACATATGGTAGGTCCCACTGAAATGGTGACATTTGAGAAAAGACAAGAAGGAAGGAAGAGTAAGCCAAGTGGATAGACTTAGAGAAAAATATTCCAGCGCCCTGGGATGTACTGGGAACTGAGTGAAGAAAGTATTTCAAAGAGAGAATGATAAGTCATGTCAAAAGATGTTAAGGTGAGTTGTGAAAAGTAATCACTGGGTATAAGAATGCAGAGATCTTTGGTGAATTGGACAAGTGCAGTTTCTGTGGAGTGGTACTAGTGGTGGCACTAGTCTAATTACAGTGGCTTTAGAAAAAAAGAAAGAAAAATGAAGGGGAGGAATTGGAGACAGTGAGAATATAATTTTTCTGTAACCTGAAAAGCAAAAGAGGTTAGTATAATCAAGTGGAAACTAAAGCAGTAAGAAGGCTCTAGGCATGATAAATAACAACATGTTTATAAGCTAATGGAAATGATCCAGGAGACAGAGAGAGAGAGAAGAGAGAGAGAGAACAGTGTAGGAGACAAAGAATTCTCCACGTCTGCTGATTCTTATGAGGTTATGCTTTCTTCTCTCCACTTTTTTTTTTTCAGTTGAAATACCAGATTTTTCAGGTTTTCAGAACAGATTGTACTGTTCAGAGTACTTATTCTCAAGAGAACCTTTAAAGGCTATTTTATCTTCTGCGAGTAAAGTTTACATTCCACTATTTTTATTTCCTTTAGAAATGTCCAGAAATTGACATTTGGAGGAAATACTTTAGAAAATTTACTTTAAATGTTACAGTGTAATGATCTATTCAGTGTAGGTGCGGGGGTGTGTGTGCGCACATGAGTGCTTGAAATAAAATTTTGGAATTCTAAACTTTTACTTTATTTCAGCATGACGTCTGGAAGTTTAGAGTCAGATACACAACAAGAAAACAAAGTATCGGTAAGAAGTGAAGTTTGCATAAATTCTTTATTTAAAAAATCATTGTAGGTAATGAAACTAACTTCTTTAATTAATATTGACGTTTTCTTGATATTGTTTAGTTTTCACATTTTACTAGTAAAGATTTTAGAAATAAAACATAGAAAGTTGTTTTCCAAGTAGAAGACTGAGGTAAAGTGGAGTGGAGTGGTAACTATGGGATGTTACTGGAGCTTTGGAAAAGTTAGGCGTGATGTGGCATGGCCTTTCTTATTTTGACATGTAATAAATGCCACAATGCTCTCTGTGGCCCTACAATACTATAGACATCGTGGGCTATTTTTTGAAGTGTCAGCTTGTGTATGAGGAAATCCTGGAATTCACACATGAATGATACACATTGGGTACAACATACTATTTGGTTTAGCTAGACTTAGGTTTAAATCACAGTCTATTCCAGATATATCTAGTTTTCTTCTCTTTCAAGTCACTCTGACCCTTGAAGACTTCTTCCACCATGAGCTCCATTATGTCTTGGAAAAACTGGGTCCTTTCTATCTGAGCACCACTGGGTCCCTCCCTAGGCTTCCAGTGAAACTGTGGGTTGCTGAGAGGTGCTGGAGTTGGGTGATGGGTATACAGAAGATTATTATACCAGTTCTCTACTTTCATGTAAGTTTGAGGATTTCTCTTTAAAAAGAAAAAAAATAGCTGTCTATATTTCCCCAATCTCCTTTGATTCAGGTTGAAGACCTTCTGCACTCCACCAGAGATATTTCTGGAATAATCTTTTCAGCTCTACTATAGAGGCAGTGTAGTATGGAGAAAAATTACAGACTAGGAATCAAAAGACTTGGAATGAGGCCAAAATTTGCCATCTTCAACCTGTGTGATGACAGCCAAGTCATTTAAACTCTCCAAACTTTATTTTTCATCTGTAGAATGAAGATAATGAGACTTAACTAGTCTACTTCAAATAAGATTTTTGGGATGTGAAAATGGTTAAGTGCCTGAGAGTGTACAGGAGCATGGTTATTTGGAATTGATAGCATTCCACTGGGTTTCCCTGCGGGCCTGGGGACTTTGTTCTTTAATTTCTCTATTTCTTTCTGGATTCAGCAGTTCTGGCCTACCGCTCCCTTGCAATCCCAGCATCACTAGCTGTATTAGTTCATTCTCGCACCACTCTAAAGAAATACCTGAGACTGGGTAATTTATAAAGAAAACGTATTTAATTGGCTCGTGGTTTTGCAGGCTATAAAGGAAGCATAGTGGCTTCTGCTTCTGGGGAGGCCTTAGGAAGCTTCCAATTATGGCAGAAGGCAAAGGGTTAGCGAGGCATCTCACACAGTGGGAGTAGGAGCAAGAGAGAGAGAGAGAGAGGACCGATGCTACACACTTTTTAGCAACCAAATCTCCTGAAAACTCACCATCATGAGAACAGCACCAAGGCACCAAGGGGATGATACTAAACCATTCACAAGAAACTGCCTCCATGATCCAATCAGCTTCCACCAGGCCTCTTCCTCCAACATTGGAAATTATAATTCAACATGAGATTTGAACAGGGACACAGATCCAAACTTTATCACCAGTTAGGAACAATTGATTCTCTTGTGAGTTAAATATCTAGAATCTCACTTCTGTGCAATTATTTTTGATCATAAAATGTTAACATCTCTCTTCTCAGTGTAGTTCATTTTACCTGGTCCTAAACAAACTGGACATAGCTCTTAAATGTATAATAATTTTCAGAAAGAGAGTTTCTCTTGAATAAATATTAGCCAAAGGCAAATCAAATTACTTTGGTTTCAATTAAAAATGTATTTTCTAACTCTAGTGATAATTTAATCTTATGTTGCTTTTTTTAAGCAAGAAAACCTGATAATGAAGTTTTGCTTCATTTAATGGAGCTGTTTATGATACTGTTGCCCAAAGAGTGTCCCTCACTGGACCATATGAAAACAGTTTTTCTCTGGTTGGTGGGGACCCTTGAATTGGGTACATGGGACTCTTCAGGTCACCAATCTTTACTTAACTGCCCTGTCTTTTAAGGATGCTAATCAACCAGCACCCTAGAGGTAACCCTCTCGTGGGCAGTATCTATACTGAAAAGGACAAGGTGCCAATTACCTAAAGAAATACCTTTAGGATTTCTACCCAGGGCTCCAATTAGCTTCCTGGAGTTCCAAATCCATCCTCTTCTAATTTACATTTGGCAAGGTTGGGATCCCTGGGGCTTGAAGGAACTGGTTCTTCTTCAGTTTCTGATTTTTTTTTTTAATATTTCTAAAGAAATACATTTAGCTGGAGGGAGTTGGGATTAGAGACCTCAAGTGGTAGTGATATCCATGATTACTGCTGCCTCCCTTCACAACACAGTCCCTTTTAAGTCATGGAACTCACAGAGCACAGAACTCAGCAGAATGAATTCTGCTGTGAACCGTGAGGAACCAAATTGCAGGTGGTGGATCTCAGTTGCCTCTTTTAAATAATTGCTTTTAGTTTTGGTTGAGAAGACAGAGATGAGAAAATCTTCTCAAGTCTTTGAAGATTTCTTGACCACCAAGCAGAACTAACCCCGCACTCTCTGCCTTTGTGTCTTGGTGGTTCTTTACTTGCCCTTACTGCACCATTCTCTGAATCTACATTGACTTTTGAACTCTGTTGGTAAATTGTGCATTCCTAGAGAAAGGACTGGGCTCTACTCATCTCTGGGACAAAATTTCAGACATCAAAATGACTCTCAATCTATATCATTTGAAATAGAACAAACAGACTGAGCTCCAGGCATAGTAGCAGGTGGTTGAAATTCCCTGTCCCTCTGAATCTGTAGAGCAGCACATGAGGGTGGTGTCTGGCATCATCATTATTATATTGATAATTTTCTTCCTATTATTATTATTACCAGTTTAGAAATTGAGATTTGGGGAGATTCAAGGAGCTCCGGATGTTAAGTGATCAAAGAATATGTGTTTACTTTGTCACAGGAACCTGATGGGATAATCTAGTAAGACTTTACTTAAATTCACTCTCAGGTGCCAGGTAGTCCCCATTTATCTCAACCCTATCTATACCTTGGGCCTGCTGGAGAATTTGAATGTTGTTTATTGCTTTTGCTGCATTTTAACATCTTCTGACAGAATAGCTAGTGCATATAAATTATCTTATTTGAAACTGTTTAGGAAATAGTAATTCTATTGCAAGAAGGGTTGGCCTAAATAGGATCAGGACCGCTCCCTCTGAACTATTTCTGAGAATCTAGATGCATAGAAATGAGCAATGTAAAACATATAATGTCATTGGTTATGTGGAGTGGCACATCTAAAAGACTATGGGTGTGACTTCATTAGCTCTAGAATATATATGAAGTATTTTACTCAGTGTGCAAAACTAGGCTTATTATAAAATCCCATAAGCCCTTTAACTTTCAAGTTGTAATTTAGTGATGACTTTATTAAAGAATCACGATTTTAAGTGCCAAAGATAATGAAAGAACTTTCTGGTTTTTAATTGGTAAGATCAAATCATAGCCCACTATATAAAAAGTCAGTTTTACAAAGTTACCTTAAAGTAGCTAAAAGATGTTATATTTGATAAGTTGGAGAAAGCAAGCAGTGTCTTAGTTGTGTCAAATTATATAAATTCTGTTCTTCTTTTAATACTTAGTGTAATATGCTATTAGTTTTGCTGGAAACATACAGTTGGCCATATTTCTGGTATCTATAAATTTTAACATTCTAAGATGACTTTCAAAAGATTCTTTCCTTTGATGAACAAACTTTCAAATTGTTAATGAATCAAGGTTATAAATATGTCATTTGTGTTTTAAATAAGTGATTTAAAGGAGATAGCACTCTTTATTGTTAAGATGAGAACAATATAGAATTGTATATGTATCTATATTTAAATAAACATTTGTTGCTGTTCTGGGAAAAAGGTTAATTTTTTTACCACTCTAATAGGTAAGAAATTACATCTCAAAACTTTTTGTTTTGCGTCTCCTTTCTTTCTCTCTCTTTCAGCTCTACTAAGACATAATTGACACATTTAAAGTATACAGGTTGATGAGTTTTGATACCATGTGAAGCTACCACCACAATCAGGCTCATTATCCTCAAAAGTTACTCATGCGCCTTAGGAATTCCCCCACCTGCCTCTCCCCACCTGCCCACACCCCTCAAGCATTTCCTGGAGATTTTTATAAACGGAGACATACAGAATGGGTACAGAATGTACCCTTTTTTACTGGTTCCTTTCACTTAGAAAAATAATTTTGAAATTTATCTATGTTGTAGTGTATATCGATAACTCATTATTATTGCAGAATAATTTCCCATTGTATTGGAGGTACCAATTTGTCTATCCCTTCTACAGATTGGATATGGTTTGTTTGTCCCCATCAAATCTCATGTTGAACTTTGATCTCCAGTGTTAGAGGGAGTTCTAATAGGAGGTGTTTGGGTCATGGGGGTGGATCCCTCATGCATAGATTAACATCCTCGTCCCTTGGGGGTGAGTTCTCAATAAGCTGATTGTTAAAAGGAGTCTGGCACCTCCCTGCGTTGTCTCCTTGCTTCCTCTGTCACCCTGTGATATCTGCACATTCCTGCTCCTTCCACCATTAGTGGAAGCAGTCTGAGATCCTCCAGAAACCAAGCAGATGCTGACACCATGCTTCTTGTACAGCCTACGGATTCATGAGCCAAATAAACCTCTTTTCTTTTCAAATTACCCAGCCTCAGATATTCTTTTAGAGCAGCACACAACAGACTAAGACAATCCTTTGTCTGTTGACTGACATTTAGATTATTTCCAGGTTTAGGCTCTGAAAAATAAGACTTCTATGAATATTCATGCATGAGTCTTTGTATAGACACATGCTTTTTTTTCTCTTGGGAAAATACACAAGCGTGGAACGGTAGATTCATATGGTAGGTGTACTTTTAACTTTTAAAAAACCTGCTAAACTGTTTTCCAAAGTCATTGTATCATTTAACATCTCCACCAGCAATGCATGA